AATAAAAATATATTTTAAAAAAGAAACATCAATAATAAGAGAGAATCATTGATTGGCTGCCTCCTGCACATCCGTTACTGGGGATTGAACCCGCAACCTGGGCGTGTGGCCTGATCGGTAATGAAACCGTGATCTCCTGGCTCACAGGTTTACGCTCAACCACTGAGTGACACCAGCTGGGCAAGAAGGAACTTTAAGACTATTCTCATCATTGGCTTATTTTGCCAGGTACAGAAGACTATATGGATGTTGGCGCACACTGTGAATATTTCATCCACAGACTATAAAGAGCTTTCATTAGAACAAGAGAGAGAAAAACCTATAGTCTGGAGAACAAAAGCTAAGAGTTCCAAGTTTTAGGGGCCATGTTTCCCAAAGGGCTATTGTATAAAAGCGTAATACTATATACTTTTTTCTATTCACAGATGGAAAAGAGTAAAATTTTGCTTTATTTAAGCCCAAGAGCAATAATCTTGCATGGATTTCAGAAAAATGATACACATTTTACGGTGGGATAATAAGGACCATTAGTTATTAGAGAGAATAAATCATTCTCTTTCAATTCAACAGACTTATTTAATAGACTACCCTCTCTCCTTTTCATTAAAATGTCCTTCCCATACAGAACACCTGGCCACACAACATGCCACCAGACAGACTTCAGGAGGTATCTTGATGGGGAGAAATAGAGAATTTCCAAAGGGAATCCACGGGATAAAACCAACACTTGATGCTTGCCTTTCATTTCAAGGAAAGCAATATAAAAGCAATAGAAAAAGGAAAAGGTGGCTGAAAAATATAGTTGCTCTCCACAAAAGAATCTTAAAAATAAAAAATCATGAACTTAATAATTTTCCTAAATGAAATTATGCCATTATTCTTGACTTCTTTGTGCCCACTAAAAGGACAAAGTATCAAACTTCAGTAAAGTTTCAACACTATAATACGTTTCATTAATCAAAGATAAAAACTGCATTAAAAGCAAGAGAATTATTTGATGTCTGTGATTAGGCAGTCGGAGGGCTTGCATTCTATGTATACATTTTTACACTTCAACTTATTTAACAGTGTCAGTTCGCTAACTACAGTTTTTTTACATAAAGAAAACAGATTTAGAATTTTAAAAACAAATTATAGTAATTTGGTGCCTATGGCTTGCACCTCTTAGAAACTACGCACCCCCTAACACTCCCCTTACTTTGCCACCACTTCCCCATCTCCACCCTCCTCCTCTCTAACACCGCAGGCTAAGTGAGAACTGATAACAGGGGCCTCACATTCCCTAATGAAGGACAGCCACCCTAATTTTTCACTTGGAGTGGAGGAATAAAGGATGCAGATCAAAGTACAGCTCCTGAATAGGGCAGAGCGCAAATGCAGGCAATGTGTGCCTGGGGAGCTGCAGTGTTTCCTACAGATCTTCATGGTGCCTGGCACATACTGTCCCGAGCTCCATTAATGTGGAACCTCCTATGAGGAGACAGGGAGATAAGGGACCATGAGATTTATCACTAATGGTAGATAGAGATGCGGATACCGCTGGTGATGGCGGTGGGAGAAGAGGGTAGGCAGAGGAGGAAGGGGACTGCAAGATAATGACAACCTCATTCGCCCTCAGTATTAAAACTGCTATCAAGCCAAAACCAGTTTGGCTCAGTAGAAAGAGTGTCGGCCTACGGACTGAAAAGTCCCGGGTTCGATTCCGATCAAGGGCATGTACCTTGGTTGCGGGCACATCCCCAGTGGGGAGTGTGCGGGAGGCAGCTGATGGATGTTTCTCTCTCATCGATGTTTCTAACTCTCTCCCCCTCTCCCTTCCTCTCTAAAAAACCAATAAAATATATTAAAAAAACAAAAACAAAACTGCTAGCCAGTGGCAGAAGATAAAAATGAGAAAAATATGATGGGGGGGGGGGGGCAGCATCAATTCCTTAGGGCCGAGGGCACAGGCCCTTCTGGCACCTCTAACTGGCAACCTGGCACCAAGAAGGAGCTGACCAGAATAGTGTCCGTACAGTCAGGGCTGCACTGAGAACTGGCAGGTGATGAGATAGGAGAGATTGGGGCATGGCAGGACCATGGACCGTGCACGAGCCCAGAGGGTTCCCTCTGTAGACTGCAATATGTCAATAATAACATGAAAGCTCTGAAGATGGGACCTACAAGGGCCATTGGAATCGTGTGAAAACTGGATTCATAAGGCAGCCTATGACCAGTAATTAGGATCAAGTCTGGCTTTAAGCAAGTCAAACTCTGCCCAATGCTTAATTTATATAAAATCCATCTTTAGTCCTGGCAGGCATGGCTCAATAGTTAGAGCTTCGGACCGTGCACTGAAGAGTCTTGGGTTGATTCTCAGTCAAGGGCATGTACCTGGGTTGCAGGTTTGATACCAGGCCCCAGCTGTGGCACATGCAGGAGGCAACCAAAGGATGTGTTGCTCTCACACAAATGTTTCTCTCTCTCTCTTTCTCCTCTCCCCCCTGCCTTCTACTCTCTCCCTAAAAAAATCAATGGAAAAATATACATGGGTGAGAATTAACAAAACAAACAAAAGATCTTAACTATGGCCCCAGAACCAAAAAATCAGTCTGGTCCCCACTTGCTCTTAAGCTGAGCTGGCATCAGGCTATCCTCCGGGCAGGCCCCACCACTCTTTATTCTACAGCTCTTTTGCTTAAATACATGGCTCCACATATATCTGGTAAATGTCATTCATGGGACGGGGCTTATTCCTTTTATCCCTCCTCAGCACTGGAAAATCCAAAACCAAAAAAGGAAAGGGTAATGGTCAGCATTTAGATCAGGTTCTTGATCATACAAATGGAAAAACTGGGTACTCTAAACAAAAGAATGGTTTTGCTCAGGGGTTTTCAGTGGGAGGAGTAGGACTTACAGTGAGGAGAGGAGGGAGAAGATAAAAGCTCCTGAGCCTTCACATCCATGCCATCCCACTCCTGGTTGAAACATCTATCATCACCTCTCAGAGCTAAGAGGGGGCAATACAGTTCAGCCCAGTGGTTAAGAGCACAAGTTTTGGAGTCACGCAGAGCTGGGCCCCAATTCAGTCACTGCCAGCTATGTGACAAGACCAAGTTAGTTACTCCTCTAAGCTTCGGCTTCCTTCTCAGTAAAATGGGACAAATACAATGTAGGCGCACGAGGCTGTTGCAAAATTAAATGATAAATATATGCAAAATACTTATCGCAGCATCCGGTAGAGTAAGCACTGAACACAGAGGCGAGAGAGGAAAAAAAAAAAAAAGAAGGAAGCTAAAAAATATTGTGCACTCATGCTCCCACCTCCCAGCTGAGGATTTATAAATATCATCAAATACAACTCAACTTTGAGAATACATTATATGATGATTCGGGTAGCAGAATTTTTATCTCCCTAATTATGTTTTGCTTAGGCAAATGTCAAAAATGAGCTTCCACTTCCAGAGCAGATACTGATGGGATAGTGGAAACGGGACTTGTGGGAAGAGCTCAGACACATACTCAGCAGGAGCAGGGTGGAGAATATGTGACTTGATAATTCATCTGTCTAATCTCAGTCTACAATGCACACTGAGCACTAACTATGTGCAAATCTCAAGGACTGGAGGAGTTTGATGTATTTATGCAGGAGCCTGGCAGGAGGGTGGGATGTGGCTGCTAACAGCACTCACTAAGCACTCCCTCTGCTCCTGGGCTATGTCAGCATCTCCCATGCATCATCTTTTTAATATATATATTTGTGTGAAATTGGTTTCAGAGAGGAAGGGAGAAGGAGAGAGAGAGAAACATCAATGGTGAGAGAGAATAAGTGATTGGCTGCTTCCTGCACGCCCCACAACCCGGGCATGTGCTCTGACCGGGAATCGAACCATGACCTCCTGGTTCATAGGTTGATGCTCAACCACTGAGCCATGTCTGCTGGGCTCACCTGCCACATCTTACTGCTCCCTCAGAGCAACTTTAATTTAGGACTTCAGAAACCAGGGTTTAGACAAGGATGTGGAGGCTTGCAAAAGCCACAGAAGCACAATCAGCATTGGAACCCAAGTGCCTATGATGCAAAAACCCATGTCTTAAGCTAGACATTTCGATGAGAAGAGGGGGAGATTTTCCATGAAGCAGGGACAGAGTGAGCAATGCCATATTTAAGAGACCCTCAGTATACTGTTTAAGAAATAAGGCTACAAATACAGATCGGAGCTAGCGGGCTAAGAGTCTATAACTGCCCAAAATGTCAGTGGCTGGTTCTAAACTTTACCTGTAGATAGTGAGGAACGATCTAAGGACTTTATTATGCATGACTGAAATCTGTGCTTAAAATGGAAGGAATAGAGATGGGACCTTAAAGCAATGTAACTCTTACATTTCTACGCAAGAGATGACCATCTGGTGACAACTACAAAATCAAAACATTGAGGTTTCAGGGTTGGCTGGCACTTCGTGGGATGATGAAAAATAAGGACTCAGCCAAGACCTAGAAGTTAAAAATGAGCCTGATTTTAGAAGAATTTAAATGAACGTGAGAATAGGGTTCTCACAGGGAACTGAATACCACAACAAACTTTTTTAATGTTAAGAAAGCTGTTTTCTCACTTTCTGTGAAAATACCTTTAGAGACAATCAATCAAGATACCATTGATCTCCTTAGTAATGTAAGTTCACTAATAGAAGCTACAACAATATGAACTCATAGACTTACAATGGTGCCCCAAATCTTCTCCATCCTTTCTATTGCCTTCTCTCTCCCTTCAGCATTTACTGACTGAGTGCCAACTATGGAGCAGGCATGTGGCTACAGAGGTGGCAAGTATGTGGAATTTGTAGTCTATGAGCAGAGACAGACATTAACCAAAGCACTACAAGAATGAATGCCCAGTTTTAAACAAAGGAGTGCTTGGCTCAGCACTGTGCCTATAAAAAGGCCCACAACAGTTGAAGGAGAGAGGACGGAGAATGTTGCTATTGCTGGGGAAGGGGCTATGTGAACTCGGGGCACTTACCTAGCCATGTTGCTATGAGGACAGCATCAATTCCGTCTATCGGCTCACAGATCCGGGCCACCACTGGGTGGATCTGCTGGGCCAGGTAGTATTGGGTGTCAATGGTTAAGTTGTCTTGTTTCTGCAGCTGCTCAGGGGCATAGGCCCTCTGACTCGCACTGAGATTGGACCCATCCTGTAAGAGGACACAGTAGAAGGAACGTTGTAAGAAATTTATCCCTCGCCGAAACCAGTTTGGCTCAGTGGATAGAGCGTCGGTCTGCGGACTGAAAGGTCCCAGGTTCGATTCCAGTCAAGGGCATGTACATTAGTTGCGGGCACATCCCCAGTAGGGGGTGTGCAGGAGGCAGCTGGTTGATGTTTCTCTCTCATCGATGTTTCTAGCTCTCTATCCCTCTCCCTTCCTCTCTGTAAAAAATCAATAAAATATATATATATTTTTTTTTAAAAAAGAAAGAAATTCAACCCTCCACACACTTGCTTGGTCAAAAGAAGAACAAGAATTCAAATTTTGTGTATTTAATTCCAAACACCAAGAAGTCCTTTTTTTAAAAAAAATAAAAAATCTCATTATTGATTTTCAGAAAGAGAAGAAGAGTGAGGGAGAAAGAGAGAGAAAAAAAAAAACATCAATGAGAGAAACATTGATTGGTTGCCTACTGAACGCCCCCCACCAGGGATGAAGCCTGAAACTCAGGCATGTGCCCTGACAGGGAACGGAATTGGCAACCCCTTGGTGCATGGGACAACGCGCAACCCACTGAATCACACCACCCAGGGCATCGAAAAGTTCTTCTAACCTACTGGTGAACATTTCATAAGCATCTAAGAGTAGGAAGATGAAGGAGAACATCTCGCCCACTGCTGAAGAATGTAAATCCAGCATGTGCTGTGTTCTATTTTTTGTGGAAACATGAAACCGACAAAATGGCATGCCTAGATTAAATAATTCCACCTGCCACATCACAGAAACACATTGAGAAGACTTGCTAACAATTAGCCTAGTCAGAGGGCCTTTTAGGAGTGATGGCAAAAAGCATGTGTGGTCCTTTTATTATGTTAATGCAACCCCTTCATGCAGGCATGCTAGTCACGGTATCACCTTAAAGTCCCGGGAGTAATACTGTCCACAAGAACTGCATATATCATTGAGAAGCAAATGAGCAAGGGAAAAAGCTGGGAATGAAACCCACAGGGTAGTCACTTATGTGCAAGATATAACAGGTAAGAGTAAAATTAATGACATATCTGGTGGAGTTGGCCTAAAGCAAAATATTTGGTCCCTGGAACGAAAGGCATGCCATTTTGCACAGTTTATATGGTTCTTCCTCAAGGCAAGGAGGATGGTCAGAGAGCCTTTTAAGGAGATTCTCTTTACTTTATAAAAAGAAAAGCTGTGAAATTCTATAGAATTGGCCCATACACAGTCCTGTGGGTGATGTTACCATCATCTGTGAATCAAAAAGTTCATCACTTTACTGGACCAACATCCAACAGCTCACTCCACTCTTCCTCTCGTCCGCAACAACAGAATTTAGTATTCAGACTAGTAAATTATAACTATTCACAGTGCTCAGCTGCTCTGCAAAACTGATTATAATGTGAATCCTATTCTTTCATTCCTGCTACAATCAGTCCCTTCTCAGCTCAGAGCCCAGCCCAAAGCAAAAGCAGCATTCCACGCCGCTGTCTTTACCAGAGACTGGAAGTGGGGGTCTCTTTCTCTGGCTGGGCTCCTGACGGAAACAAGCTGGGATATTTATCAACTAGGTTCTACCTATTCTAAGATATAATGAAATATCTGGAAAGGGAGCAAACCTCAGATCAAAAGACTTGCTTATATTTTTCAGGAGTTTTTAACACAGTAAAAAAAATTAGGCAAAATTAATCAACTTTAATTGTTGCCCTTTCAGAAGTTTGAATTTTCAGATAAGTAAAATTACAGTGACAAAATGAGTATGCATATGAACCAGGAGGTCAGGGGTTGCGGGTTCGATCCCTAATTGGGGGTGTGCAGGAGACAGCCGATCAATGATTCTCCTCTCATTATTGATGTTTCTCTCTCTCTTCCTTTCCCTTCCTTTCAGAAATAAATACAAATATGTATTTTTTAAATGGCACTTGAGCCCTAGCTGGGTGCTCAATGGTTAGAGCATTGGACCATAGACTGAAGAGTTCCAAATTCAATTCCAGTCCAGGGTACGTACATCAGTTGCAGTCTCCATCACTGGCCCTGGTCGGGGCGCATGTAGGAGGCAACCAATCAATGTTTTTCTCTCTGCCCCTCCCCCTTCCTTCCAATATCTCTAAAAAAAAAAAAAATCAATGAAAAATATCCTTGGGTGAGTATTAAAAAAAAAAAATGGCGCTTGAGTTACTTTCTAATATACCATTAGAAGATGTTCTCATCAGCAGTTGAAAATTTCCAAGCATATTCTCAGTTGAAAAAGTTTTTATTTTAAATATTCACATAAAAATTAGTTTTAACCATGACCCAAACACATTTCTTACTGTGTTTTAAAAATCTGAGCTTAAACCTAACTAAATGCAAAAAGAATGGATAAATAACAGGTTTTGCCGTGTTGTATTAGAAAAATACTCAGGCTGTGACATAAGACCTAATTCATAAACCTAGCAAGACCCCCATGGTATATGCAATAACATGCAGCATATACCTTTAAAATCAGATTAAGGAACAATGTTGGTCTTGGTTGAAGTACCCGTGAACTTCACAAAATACATGCTTCACAGAAACAACTGGGTACAGTCAATTCACTCAAAACTATGTAGTCATCTTTAGTAAAAAAGTAATGGGGAAAAATTTTAACCAGATGACAAGTGGTCCCCTGAAAGTATTAAAGTCATGCCTTATGGAAATGATGTCCACCGAAAGTTAAATAAGTAAGCATTTAAAACTTAAGCAATAAGTGAACGCTGATTTAAGATATCAGCAAATAATTCGTGTAGGTTTTACAAGACCACATACTACAATACAAATTAGATACCAGAAACATTACGCTGAACTCATCTAAAATTATAGCTTGAGTAAGTTATCAGTAGAACACTGTATTCTCAATGTAAATTTTAAACAAAAGAGAACCTGTTTAAGAGTTAGGCTCTACTTGGAGGGCACTTCTGCTTAGAGCAATAAACAATTCTCTTAAAATGTATGATCATACATTTTCAAAAACATAGTCTAAAAATATGCTTGTGTAGTAAAGCACAGAAAGAATAATATGAGCGCTGAAAAGCAAAAGAGGTGAAAATGGGCAGCTTTGGTGAAAATGGGCATGTCCCAGTGCTAGGGGACAAAGGCAAAATAAAGCCCTCGAGCATTTCTTGGGATACAGTGAGAAGAATAAGCTAATAAAAAGAAAAATAAACTGTAGTTTTAACAAGCAAGTTAAGGCCCAGTACCAGTGGATAAGGGAAATGTTGAAAAGACAGCAAATTGTATTTATTGTAGTATATTAGCATCAGCACTTCAGCTTTTCTGTATCAATAAGCCCTGAGAAGAAGAAATCATAAGACCTAAGAGTTACGTATTTTTTCATTGACTTTTAGAGAGAGGAAGGAAGAGGGATAGAGAGATAGAAACATCGATGAGAGAGAAACATCATCTACTGGCTGCCTCCTACATGCCCCCTATTGGGGATCGAACCTGGACATGGGCCCTGACTGGGAATGGAACCAGTGACTTCTTGGTTCATAGGTTGGTGCTCAACCACTGAGCCATACTGGCCGAGCAAGACCTACTATTTAGATATCAAAAAAACATAACTTTGACTTTTAAATACATCGGTCATACTATCATACATCTCCATTCTGCTTTTAGTCAAAACATAACTGTGGCTGGGTTTCATTATTAGCTACTATTTAAAGTTATATGCTGCCATATTGCTCCTCTCATTAATAATCCAAGAGTTTTTCCATGTATGTGAAGACAATAATTTTAAAAAACTGGCCTATTTATCAAAATCTTTACTTGCATAATATGAAAATTGTTGTGGTTTTTTATTCTTTGAGATGAGATTTGTCAGAGGCAATATGCAAAGCACATTAAGGGCTTGAGCGAGTCAGACATTTATGGAAATATTTTCCTGCAGGAATTGGTTTTCTGTAACAGTTCTTAATCAAGGGTAACCCTAGGAGGGAGACAGAATCAAGTCTATGTAGTTAAATCATGTGTTACGTACATCATCTACAGTACTGAGCAGATATTAGCAGATGACTTTTAAATTTTGAAAAGACTCTATGATTTAAAAACCCATTGAGTATAGTTCGACAAAGAGCAATGCTACTGCAATGAAGTTTAAGGCTTATTTATCTAAAACTTCTTACTGTCACAACACAATGCAATAATTAATTTAAAATTAAATTATGCCTTTTGGAAGATAGGCCAGATCATAATCATTTTAAAGAATCTGGATAGAGGCTATGACTGACTGACTTTTTTTTTTTTTTAACAGAGAGAAGGAATGAGACTTCTTTGTTCCAACTGAAGTGTTTTCAAAGAAAAGAAGTGCTCTTTTGTCCTATCCTCTCTCCCCATCCCTAATTGTCAGAGACATGCTACTCTCAAAAAAAAACAAAACAGTTAGTGGTGTCAAGCTGTGCTCTATAAGGCCTAGAGGTTCCTCAGAGCTGCCTTGCGGAACAGGGAGAAGGAAAGAAAGTGGGTTCTAGGCCCCCTCCACTCAAAAAAAGGGGGGGGGGAAGGAAACTTTAATTTGTGTTTTTTCGATAAGGTATATTTTTAGGATATCTCATCTTTCTCCATATAATCATGCATTTCATATTTCTTTCAAGTAATTATTTGAACAAAGACTATGGAAAATGCATTTACTCTCATTCTACCAATATTCATAATGGAAACGGTGGCAAAAGGAATGATAAATGACTGCTGCTGGACATATGACCATACCTACACACATTTTCACTGAAGTTAACCGTAGTTACTGTCATACACCTGTCTCACCAAATTAATTTCAGTGACCCTAAATACAAGTCTTTGTTTTACAAAAACTTTAATAAAATATGCCATATCCTGACTGATGTTTTTAAATGCTATAAAACCAATCAGACCAAACCATCTCTTGACAGCATTAATTATCTTAAAGTCTATTAAATAAAAGACACTGCGGCCATCTGGATTTTACTTTGTGTCATAAGTGGTATGAGTCTTAATTATGATATTTTTACCTGACAGATGACATACGACACAGTATCTCCAGCTTTCACCTTTCTGCCTCCTTGAGAATTTATCCAGAGGGCGACATGTACGTGAGGTAGGCTTTTTTTATCAGGGTAATCCTGAGGATCCTTTGTCAACGCCTACAGGAGAAAAAGAGGGAACAAAATGCCCCAAACTTTAAAATAAAACCCTTCTCACACAGCCATACACTAATGCACCTTTGCTAGAATCATACTAGCCACATAAACATAAAAATGACATTAAGATATATGTAGAAAACACTGTCACAGAATCTCTAGACATTCCATCCTCCTGCATTAAGTAAATAATGTAACCAGATGCAACCTTGACAAAAAAGAGAAATACAAGTTTATGGGCTATGACACATAATACTTACACATAAAAATTAAGACTATAAAGTCAATCTTGGAGAGTTTCTCCTCGTGTTTGCAATTCTCTCACTGAATTAACTGATCAGTTAGGACTGATGGATGATGGATAACAGCTACTCTGACTTACGGATGTGTTTCTCAAAAGCTTTTCTAGCCGAAATAAATCCCAAAGGTACCATAAATCACTGGATTTACTCCCACTGTCAACTTAAGCTCTACAAAGGCAGAATGATGAGTCTCTAACAGAAAGTAAGCGCCAGGAGAGCAGGAACAAGTCAGCCTTACTCACAGCTGCATTCTCAATGCTCAGAAGGATACCTGACGTACGGTAGCAACCAAATGTTTGCAGGATAAATGATGTCACTCACTCTAAATTAATTCACTAAGTTCAAGCATAATGTCATGCACAGGTCAAACAGCCAATCAAAGTATAACACTGACCAATAGAGTTTAATGTAAGAGAGCGTGCAAAGTTCATTGACATGTTGTCAGATTCCATATTATAAATAAACTTTAAAAAAAAATACTACTTAGAGTCTTGGTGTAGAAAAAAGAATATGCACAATTATCTGAAAAAGTTACTAAAATACACTGAGTGGCCAGATTATTATGATCTCTGAACACATAGTAATCTGGCCACTGTGTGTGTGTGTGTGTGTGTGTGTGTGTGTGTGTGTGTGTGTGTATTAGAGGCCTGGTGCATGAATTCATGCATGGGTGGGGTCTGGCCAGCCTGGCCAAGGGGAAGGGACATGGGCAGTTGGCTGGCCTGCCTGCTGGTCAAACTCCTGGTCGAGGGGACAATTTTCATATTAGCTTAGCCTTTTATTATACAGGATATACACTGAGTAGCCAGATTATTATGCGTTCAGAGACCATAATAATCTGGCCACTCAGTGTACATCTCCCTTTTCCAACCTACATATTTGTGGAAACTGGATTTTCTTCCTATACTCAACCTAAGCCACACAAATTACATGCACAAGCACATGAGAATCCAGTTGTATTCTCCTAAACTGGACATTAAAAAGATCTGCAAAATTGTAAAAGGATGCCACTCCTCTGGCTAATTTGTTTTTGTTTTAAAATAGTTATTTACAATGTTATTTTTGTAATCCCATGATGGGCTTATTGCTGTTAAACAAATTAATAAATGGTCTTAAAATTTCTCAGTTTTAATTTCTAGCACGGTAAATATCAACACAAGCCACATAAACCAAAGCTCTTAGACGTCTCGATTATTTTCAAAGTGTGAAGATGTCCTGAGGCTAGGAAATCTGGAAACTGTTACAGGAGAATAAAGCACGTCCTCAAACACGGCTGCACATACCCACATTATATACACTTTCTAAATCAAACGCTCAGGGTAGGAGTGCCTAGGAAACTCTCCAAGTATTTGAATCTCCTCAAACTTGAATTATGCGAAGTCTTGATTGACTCAGTTGGGTAATAGTGCATAGAAATCTTAATCAATATAACTCTACTTGAGAAAACCATTATCTTCTCCAATTGACTATACTTCAGTGCAATGTTAAGAAATTCTGAATTTCATCTGACATACTTTCCAATTATTAAATTGGGACTATTGGGGGGTTTTACAAGCTAGTTTTAGGTGCCTTGATTTTTTTTTTTTGGGGGGGGGATCCTTTCTGGTGGTTTAGGCTCAAATTAGCCAGGACTATAAAAATCAGCTGTCAGATTTTGTGTTACTTTATGAAATATATTTAAGCTAAGATTGCAGTAGTTCAGAAAATCAGTTGTTTATGGCAACAAGGGCTAAAATTTCTATAGTGGTAAATATCACCACTTCATCCCTGCACCCTAGGCTAACCTCCCATTTTCAATGCCTACCAGCATCATTTATAAATACTGAAATTTTATTATCTATATCTACATCTACATCTGTATCTATATCTTATCTATCCATCCTGTAGTAAGACCATCCACAGTCACATACATAGACTCTTCCATTCTACTGCCTTTTCAAAAAGATAAAATGTAAAAGCCAAAATGCTTGCAAGTTTTAAATAGTATAAATATTCAGACAAATGTTATTCAGGACAAATCATGCCTGACATATAAACAGCTTACCATAAACAGACATTGGAATAATTATGAAATAGAGAGACCTTTCATTAGAATTTATTGTACTTACATTTGCAGAAATTATTTTTTATTGAATTTATTGGGGTGACATTGGTTAATAAAAGTATATAGGTTTCAGATATATAATTCTATAATATATCATCTGTATATTGCACTGTGTTATGAAAAATAAGTATAAAAACAGAGGACAATAAACATCTTCAAGAGACCATTAACATCTTGAAAGTATAAACCATGCTTTTGTTCATTCGCTTTTATAACCCAGAATCTATACTGTGCACATAAGAAGTACTCCATATTTGATGAATAATTAAATAAGCAAATGAGTTCTTTTATAGCTCATTTTAAGTGAAATGGAGGATATATAGATAGTAAGTCACAGTTTCAGTTCTGCCACAGGGAAAAAAAAAAGTATGCACAGCCCCATCACACTAAGTAATGACTGTTATCCTATATAATAAAAGCCCAATATGCTAAATGTCTGGTTATCCGTTCAACCAATCAAAGTGTAATATGCTAATGATATGCTAAGGTTGCTCAACAGCTTGCTATGACGTGCACTGATCATCAGGGGGCAGATAGTTGATCATTCAATCAGTCACTATGATGTGCACTGACCACCAGGGGGCAGATAGATGGCTGATGGACCAGTCGCTATGACGTGCACTGACCACCATGGGGCAGACACTTCAACCTATAGGATAGCTTGCTGCTGGGGTCTGGCCGATCAGGACTGGGTGAGACAGGTGGGACACACACCTGGAACCCTCCCTCGGTCCCTGCCCAGCTGGCACCAATTGGGACTGGGCAAGATGAGCCAGACACACTTCAGGACCCTACCATGGTCCCTCCCTTGCTGGCCAACCTCCTGCATTCCTCCCTGGCCCCAATCATGCACCAGTGGGGACCCTCGGCCTGGCCTGCGCCCTCTCGCAATCTGGGACCCTTCAGGGGATGTCAGAAAGCCGGTTTTGGCCCGATCCTGCAGGCCAGGCTGAGGGACCCCACTGGTGCACAAATTTGTACACCAGGCATCTAGTTAATAATAATAATGGGTCACTTTTAAGTTGATAATTATCAAAGCTGAATGATGGGTACATGGGGATTCATAATACTACTCTACTTCTGTATAAGTTTAAAATTTTCCATAATAAAAACTTTAAAATAACAAAACCATAGATTGTTCATGAGAACACAGAGATTGCCAGCATGTTTATGACTCTAGGTTTCTTTGCACACTACTAATACTGTCTCGTCATTCATATGAGATGACGGTATGGGCCCACTACCCTAGAGGACATGTGCTCAGTGTTGTTTTGCCAATGATGTATTCATGTGTAGACTGAGCCTTTCAAACTCATGGAATCACACACTTCTAAGAAGATAGACAGTGTCAAGGATACAGTCTGTACAATAGATGCTAAAATTGATCAGAGGCAGATTGAAGTAATAACTCTTACTCAATTCAAATTTTTGAGAGACAAAACAAAATCTAAAAAGTAATAATTTCTAGATGGCACAAGTGATTCCATGCCATTGCATTACTTAAAGTAAAGAGCTAGTGCTAAGGCACAATAATTTAATATTTTTATGTATAAATAAATGTCTTCTTTTGTGACTAAAGATATCACAGGTCAAAGTATAATGAACAAGTGACTTACCTAAGACTAAATACAAATCATAAGGACATACATAGAAAATATGCATTCTCTCTGGAAATCAAATGTAAATGAAATCCAACAATGACATTTTGTTTCATATTCATTGTTTTATTTAAATATCACCAATGATTGCATCACCAATGAAATATCACCAATACAAGCAAATCTGTGGTGAAATTGGCACATATTTTCTTATTATCAGTTGGTATCACCTTTTTGCAAAGCAATTTGACAAGAGCCATACAGATCTTCATATCTTTTGACTCAAATATTCCACTTCAAGGACTCTAAACTAAGAAAGTAACTGATCCAAAAGCAAAAAGGTAAATGATGTTTAATATAGTTATTTACAAGAAGATGTTTAATATAGTTATTTACAATAGCAAAAAAGTAATTTAAATAATCAAAGGAAAATTTTAAATAAATATGTATCAGTGAAATATAAGATTAACACACTGCTACACAAGATGGCTTTTAAAGTAATATAAAAATGTGAAAAAAATTGCTTATGTTAAGTGAAAATAGATTTCAGTATATTAATATTGTAATTGCTTCAATGTAAAAATGTTTTCAAAAGTAAAATGCAAAAATGTCAAGCATTACTGTTTTTCTTTTGATAGCATTTCTTTTTTTAAATACAGTTTTTATTTTTAAATTAGTTTATACCCTATATTATTTTATATTAGTTACATGTGTATAGCATAGTGGTTAGACAATCATATACTTTACAAAGCCAGGTGGGTACTGAAAATATTGGGACATTACTTTTAACATAAGGGAATTATAATTGAGCTTTAATTCTAAAATTTTCATTTAATATAATAATTATATTCCTTTTTATTAAAATTTCATTTTATGAGTTTTGACAGCAAAATCTATTTATCACAAAACTGGTAAAATAGTATTTGCAAAATTAGCTTCTAAGTATGTAAGGGTACTTATTCTTTCTGAATGGAAAAAAAATCTGTAACCTAACATCTTGTAAATGAGGATTTTATTTTTTCAAACTAGGTAAGAAAAAAAGTATTCCCTATTTTCAACAACTAAGACTGCCCATAAAATGTAACTTATATCCGAAGAAAAAGCCTACATACAGTATCTCTAAGGATCACCTTCTGTGATGTTACATGCAAGCACACACACACCTCCCCCTCCTTCTCTCTCTCTCTCTCTCTCTTGTCAAATTGCTTTGCAAAAAGGTGATACCAAACAACTATAACTTAGAAGGACTATGAAGAAGGCAGAACTCTCTAGTCCCTGAAACATCAACTATATCATTCCACAGAACTTCTAGGAAGAAGGCTTCCATGAATTAAAATAAGAATGAAGAGAGAAGGCCCTATAGCAGACATGGAGGTACCAGTGGCTGGAACAGGAAGTGTTATGCTAATGTTCAGTCTGTGAGACAGTTATTAAACAGCTTTCATCACCAGCTAGAATTTATTTCAATTGCAAGGATGAGGTGGTTCTTCAACTATCTGAAGGAGGAGAAAAACACGTGGTAACAGCTGGGCTCAGCAATAAATGCTACATTTACCTTGTTAATTTCAAACTGGCTCACTGGGACACTGCCATTTAGCACATCTTCTCCAATTTCTATTAACCTCTTCTGAATATTTTCTACTATAGTGTCCCGGCTTTGATCAGAAAGAATCTGGCCAATGACAAAGCTGCAAAAAAAAAAAAAAAAAGAGAGAGAGAGGGACTGATTTTTTAAATATCATACTTCATTAATAAAGGAGAAAAAAAGGGAAGATAGATACCAATAGATTAACATGTGGACAAGTACTGTAATAAAAGCTAACATGAGGGTTAAAGTCTAAAAGACCATTACTATTTGTTTTTTAACATTGACTCTGCCAAAGGTTTACCAACCTTGGAATGTCAGCTTTGCCCTTAGACATACAGATAATTTTTTATGCAGCATCTGATGCATCATACAAAATACAGACAGAAAAGGTATGTACTCCATTGAGTTTTTAAGCAATTACAAATTTCATAAGCAGTTATACTTTACTCATAAGTTAAAATGTCAGATGATAAGTATTTCACTTTCCTCATAAAGCACCAAGATGTTATCTCTGATATTAAGATATCATCTCTGCCTAAGATGCTCATTAGCTAAGTAAGAATATACAGCTCTCTATGTAAATTTAAAAAACACAAATATTTCAAACTTTTCTTTCTTCAGCTTCAGTACACTGCTCAGAGTTCTCTAACTTTACACTATCCCTTAAAAACATCGTGTTATTCCACCAGACTCGCACAAAAAAAAAGGGGGGGGGGGACAAAACAAGAACGAAAACGAAAAGGAGTAAGGAAGCCAATATTTTATCCATTTCTGAGAAAAATGCAGAGCGAGGGTTTGACAGCTGCATTATAATTTGTCAGAAAAAGAACCCTGACAAAAACATTTGTATAGCTTTAATTACTAATACATTTCTAACTCAGAGAAATTTACTTCTATTATGATGCATCTTTTCTTGGAAAACACAAAGCTGAAGAGAACACTCTAATCGACAGTCTATACAAAGTACTTTCATCTTTGGTACATTTGGGGGCAATGAAGCATTTCAAACTACATTTCATAAAAGGCGAACAGTGACCTATACTTGGATGATCAACTTTGCCTAATCAAGAGTAGTTTGCAGAAGCAACAATTGCTCACAATCTCCTGACTTGAAAACAAGAGGAAGAATGGAAAACAAGTAAAATATGCTGATAGTCAGCAATGTTAAAATTAATTTAACATTTCGTTTTCAAGAAAGAAATTTCTTCTATTTTCAGAATTGCTCAGGATCAAAACCTAAAGTACCTAACACTTCATTTTCCAAATGGGTGTTTTGCAAATTAATATGATCCTAAAAGAGTAAAACAGGTCTTAATTCAATCTTTAGTCTCAGGTGCAAAGCTAGGAGGTCACACAATTATTTCTGAGGTACATAAGGTGAGAACTAGCTCTTAAATTAACCCGAGATTAGTAAGAATATTTGCACACAACTTATACTGATGGGAACAAAGTCTCACTCCATGGTCCACTGTGAATTCCAGAACATTTTAAGCCATAAAATGGAGATTCCTTAACAATCATGTTCCTAAAAGGTTCTAGGATAATACAGGAACCAGTACATGACACTCTAATAGGAATATTAAAGCAAAACAATACAACATTAAACAAAACCAACCCTGTAAGGATCAAAATATGGAAGTTTACCCTCACCATGAGTAAAAACTCATGAGATGAATTCTACAGCAAGCATCTCTTACTGAGCGAGTGTGGAGAATTATATGAATTGCTGAAGGGGGTTCTTTAGGAAGAGAAAGTAAATAAAGGTAAAAACTATGAACAACAAATACGTAACTATCAACAAGTGAATCTAAAAACCAAGGGAATTAAAAAAAATCTGATGAACAATATTAACTGGTGAATATAATAGAATCAGAGGTATGGAAGGGGAGTGGACTGATGTTTCTCGGGGGAAAAGGGGAGAGGGGGGGCGGGAAGAGACTGAACATAAACTGCACCTATGGATAAGGACAATGGGGGGTGGGGAAAGGGCAGTGGGTGGGGTGGGAACCTGGTGGAGGGGAGCAATGGGGGGGGGGGAGAATGAGGAACATTTGTAATAATATGAACAATAAAGATTTATTTAAAAATAAATAAATAAAATAAAATCTTTGGGAAAAAAAATAAATAAAAATGTATCAAACTCCACTCCAAATAAGTAAGAGTTGTTAATATGCAATAATAACAATAAGAAAAAAGAAGCTGAGTACTCGTGCTTGGCAGAATCACAAGCATTGTCCATGTCATTCATATCTGAATTTTTAAAAGACAAACAACAAAATATAAAAACAAAGCAGAACTTACTTTCCAGTTTCTTTAGCAAGATCACACCAATCTCTTCGAACTATATCTAATCCTTTCAGCTCCTGTTTGGTGACATAATTCCCATCCGACGTTGGTTCTACAACCAGAGCAGCATATTTCTTTTTCTTTAACAGTAGCAGGGACTTGAAAATTCCATCAATGTCGATTTCAAGCAGCTTGTACAATTTATTCACTTCACTTTTCACCTGTGAAAATTTCAATCATTAATATTATATTCTCAAACATCTAGTAGGAAGAACATGAACATGCTATAAATTCCCAGGAGTTAATCTAAACAGAACTTGAAGGTACCTGATACTAGGTTGCATTTACTCAGCATATATGGAACATGATATTTTGTTGGATTTGATGCAGAACACTTTAAAAAAAAAAAAAAAAAGCACAGGGACAGAACTGGCAGGGTCATCCTAAAAATTATAAAAATTATGACATATTCTTTTTAAAATCTAAAAATCTAAATGCATATGTACTTACCTTCAAACTACTGAATTAGTTAAGAGATTACACAATCCAGAAATAAGTAAAACTTGAACTATTAAAATAATGTCTATAATCTTGCTGTACCTTAAATATAAGCAAATAAATGTATGCCGAACAAATAAATGAATAGTCACCTGCTCTTTATTGATAGGGACATGGTACAGACCATCAACTCTAGGGAAAATACATAGTTTTTCAAGGTCCAATATGAGTTCAATATGCTGGCTTACTCTCAAGTGAAGACTATAGCTCAAATTTCATACATTTCATAGAATAGGAAGGTGTAAGTTTGTAAGATAATACCTTATTATGTATGTATATGTATGTAAGTAGGTACTTATTCCTATCAAAGAGTGTATGAAAGGCATCTGAACACTACTAGAGACATTTCTCCTTATGAATGACACTGTGATAAGTACTAACTTGATGACATCTTAAAGTTATCACACTTAGACTGTTCTCAGAGCCAAACCATATCTACCATTTAAGGAAAAAACAATTTTCTTTTAATTTTATCCTCAAAATAAACAATTGGATAAGAGGCTATAAAAATAAAAGGATGAAGAACTGAAGGCACTAAGTGTATTGTTTCCAGAAGCACACAATGTACATACACGTGAATTTATAAAGTTCCAAGTTAAAAACAATTCACAAAAGTAGATAAAATAGGTAATCTTTTCAAATTATCTCACCTTGTTTCCCAATTTAAATACTTCTTCCAGATTGGTGCTATTGGTGTTTATCATTATTGAATCTGTATCTCCATAAATAACTTCAAGATTCATCTAATGAAAAGCAAGAATTATAAAAATTAACAACTAAAACATGGTGACCATTATGCATAATGAAACTAGAGATTTTCCATATTACAGAAATCACACATTCCAAGGATTTTTCCAAAGGTTATATTTACTCTTACCCATATTGTGAGGGTTGTACAAATGAAGATTAAGCCCCAATATATCAGAAAAGTGAACACTGCCACATTAAAACATCTCCTTAATTTTCTTAAAATTGATATTACAATGGCAGGGGAAGTGTCCAGTTTCAATGGAAACAAAATGTGTAACTGAATAATACAAAGGAGGATAGAGACTAGGAAAGGGGGACTATATTTACTCACTGTACCACAAGCTTAGTGGTCATGGCGATTTATGGAACAGAAACATAATAGGATTTTAAAATTCAGAGGCACAAATCCATATTAAATTCTTAACAGTTTCAAACAGTATTTAGTGAAACACGAAGAGTGCCAAAAAAAATCAATCATAGCAAACAACACTAGAGCACATACGGTACAAAGGCCAGGAAGTAAACTCTAATTAGCACTGTTACTAATTTGCTTGAAACACTCACATATAGGCTTCAAGCAGCGGCTAGATCATATCAGTGTTAGTAAAAGAAAAAAGCTATAATCCATTAGGAGGGATTATAAATGTAAACCAGACATCCTAAGAAGCCATTTCCAGTCTGTTTGGGTTGCAATTTTCCTTGAATACAAAAATGTCACTAAGTATGATGTTTAAGAGATGAAAATGCTCAGCATTACCTTCTGGACCATCTCTTTCGTATGCATCAAAATCTAAATGAAACAGAAAGTCAACATTAATGCATTACATAATTGCAAAAACATAAAATATAAACACATACATAAGTAGCCCGATGATGTTATTTCCATACATTTTTAAAGCTCTTGGTCATTTTCTAACTATAATTCTCAAAATAACAATTTCAACGTAATCTAAAAGTAAATTTGCTTCTATGTTGATTCTTAGAGATATGTAAAAAGATCTGTTGTAAAGATCAATGTAAACTCTATGAAAGCAGACCTATGTAACAATCTCTCTTTAATAAACATGCGTAATAAAAATACAGTAAGTCCTCACTTAACATCATAGACTCCTGGGAACTACAACTTTGGGTGAAATGACATACAGTAGGTCCTCAGGTTATGTTGGAGATCTGTTCCTACAGCGTGATTTTCACCGTAAGTCAGAATCCATCTACATAAGCACCTACGTCACTTACATGGATCATACACAGCGGTAATGAAGTGAAATAGTAAAAACAATTTAAAAGAAAGAAAACAATTCCTGACCTTTAGTTGTGGTAAATAAATAATAAAAAACAAAAAGCACATATGTACATACGTTGAAATGACAGAACTTTCTTTTATATAAATAAATAGGAGATGGCAACGTAACCAGAGGACTGCCTGTATAAGGAAACCAATTTCCCCATAGGCTAATTACGTAAACAAGAGTTAAGTTCCTATGGTCACAAAAATATCACCAAACTTTTAAATAAACACCCAAACACTTCTAACAGTAAACATTGAAATAAAGATAAGCTACACAGACATTTAAGGGAGATGAATAAAAACAAAAAAATTCTTTTCTGCCGAAACCGGTTTGGCTCAGTGGATAGAGCGTTGGCCTGCGGGACTGAAAGGTCCCAGGTTTGATTCCGGTCAAGGGCATGTACATTGATTGCGGGCACATTCCCAGTGGGGGATGTGCAGGAGGCAGCTGGTCGATGTTTCTAGCTCTCTATCCCTCTCCCTTCCTCTCTGTAAAAAAAAAAAAAAAAAAAAAAAAAAAAATCAATAATATATATATATATTTTTTTTTTTTTAATTTTTTTTTAAATTCTTTTCCATAGGCCTATTCCAGTTTAGGGTCACCAGTGGCCAGAGTCTATCCTGGCAGCTCAGGGCCCAAGGTGGGCACCCACCCTGGACAGGACATGCGTTCACACCCACACTCACATTCACTTAGACTGGGACAATGTATAGATGCCAATTCACCAAACATGCACATCTTTGGGATGTGGGAGGAAACTGGACCAAAACCCACACAGACATGGGGAAAACATGCAAACGCCACACAGACAGTGGACCCAACTGGGAAGATTTTTTTCACATCAATGTTATAATGAAACGACAAAATGACATTATTCAAGAACTGGCTGTATCCCTTTATAATATAATAGTTTGCAAAAAGGCAAATTATTCTCATTGCTAATATTTAAATAGAACTGCGTGGCTGAAAAAATTCGTGACAGAGGATTTCAAATCTGCCAATTCTTACTCATAGTATTCAGGATCTTAAAAAGTAAAAGCAAAGTATATATAAAACACATAATAGATTTGAATTTCTTCTCTACACTAAATTTCTTGAAGGCAGAAAGCAGATCTTTATAGGCCCGGAAGCTAGCATAGTGCCTCGTACACAAGTGGAGTTCAATACACATTCAGTGAATGTAGACAGTCATATAGTAAATATCTGTAGAAAGGTCTGTTCCAATACCTGTATAGCTATAAGATTAGACACATCTAATTTATAATGTGGATATATACCAAAACAGATATAAATTATCAGGGGCCAGATCAGAAGTAATATAAATTTAATAAATTTTGCTTGGGGTGCTGGGTGCAGGATGCAGTGTCCAGATGATGTTTTATTGAGTTGTACAATTGAAATTTGTCTGGTTTTTGTGAATCAATGTCACCCCAATAAATTAAAAAATAAAGAAAACATATCATACCATGTGAAAAAAAAAAGTAATATAACATAATGAGCACTCAGAATGTGTGTATGGCGGAGGCAGATACTCTACTACAAGCATCTCATATATTTTCTCAAGTTATTCTTCAAAGTCCCCAAGAAGTAACCACCATTAATATCCCCATTTGTTAGATGCAAATAATAATAATAATAATTTGTTCCAGTAAGTAGCAAAGCAAGGATAAGAACCCAGGTACCCTGACTCCAGAATATGGGGCCTTAGTCATTCCAGGCTATTTTCTCTTTATTACCGCCCATTTTTCAAAGCATCACTTTAAACCAGAAGTCACTTTTCCAATGAGCCAGATAGACTTACTTCACTTATATTTTTCTATCCACAATAGTTCTGTCAACTAAGCTCAAACCTCATATAATTTCTCTTTCTTGTCCTTCATATTACAGAGCCCTATAAATCCTGATCTTAGAATATCTTGTATTTATCTACCCATTACTTTCCATTTCCATTGCATCCCTCCCCTCAGGATCTTATATTCATTCATTGTCCTACTATTGGCCTGGTACACAAAAATCATGCACGGGGTGTGGAAGGGTGGCCCTCAACCCAGCCTGCACCCTCTCCAATCTGGGACCCTTCAGGGGATGTCCGACTGTCAGTTTAGGCCCAATCCCACAGGGACTCCTGGTTCCTAACTGCTCACTTGCCTGCCTACCTAATCACCCATAATACTCTGCCTGTCGGCCTGCTCACCCTCAACTGCCCCCCTCTGCTGGCCTTCTCACCCCAACTGCCCCCCTCCCTGCCAGCCTACTCACCCCAACTGCCCCCCACCAGCCTGCTTGCCCTCTATTGCCCCCCCACCACTGGCCTGATCACCACCAACTGCCCACCCCTCCTGACCTGATTGCCCCTAACCTTCTCTGCCTCGGCCCTGCCACCATGGCTTTGTCCAAAGGACATCCTGAAGGTCTCCCTATCTAATTACCATATTACCTTTTTATTGGTATAGATGTCTTAGGGAAGGAAGCCCTTCCCCTCCCATGGGGGTAGTGATAATTCTGGTAAGGCTAACCAGTGGTTTTAATAATGGCTGTACAGTGGAATCATCTGGGAATCTTTTTTTCAAAAACAAACACACACAATAACTGGTGCCAATAAGGTTTCTAAATAGCTCTCAAGATGATTCTTATGTTGCAAGTGGGGTTAAGGACCACTGGCCCAAGATAATCATGGTAATGCCATTCTGGAAACAGTTTTTAGTCCACTCCCAACTAAACCGCAAGTTCCGAGTGGTCAGAGGACATGTTTGTGCCTAACACCAGACTTCACATGTAACAGGCATGTAAGAATGTTTGCTAGCTGGGCCAGTGTGACTCAGTGGTTGAGTATCAACCTATGAACCAGAAGGTCACAGTTCAATAGAGCCCAGGTTGCAGGCTTGATCCCCACTAGGGGGCGTGCAGGAGGCGGCCAACCAATGATTCTCATCATTGTTTCCATTCCTCTCTCCCTATCCCTTCCTCTCTCTGAAATCAATAAAAACATTTTTTTTAAAAAGATTGCTAGTTGATTGGTAGGTCTCACAGTAATCCCAATTACTTTTCTACTAGACATTAAAATTCACTTAACTCAGAACATTCACTTTCTTCCACTTCATCTTCATTTTTAAAAAAATATATTTTATTGATTTTTTACAGAGAGGAAGGGAGAGAGATAGAGAGCTAGAAATGTCGATGAGAGAGAAACATCGACCAGCTGCCTCTTGCACACCCCCTACCGGGGATGTGCCGGCAACCAACGTACATGCCCCTGACCAGAATCGAACCTGGGACCTTTCAGTCCGCAGACTGATGCTCTACCACTGAGCCAAACCGGTTTCGGCTCATCTTCATTTTTTAACATTTAAATTACAGGGAAAGCATTGGGGGGAAGGGGTAATAATGAGGTCCACCTGAGTCAAGTTACTCACAGTGAGGACAGAACTACTTATCATGAGTTCTCTTCATCCTCTGCTCCTTCCACCCTGCGAGGCTTACCTATGCTCATCACCAGGGACAATTCCACAAAGTTACTGTTATGTACCAAGTAAAATATCAATACCTCAGGAATAATCTGCCAACCTTTCACTGCAACTCTGCATATGCAGTAACCAACTGCTTCTACTCTTCCTTGATGCCATGAACCAAAGCATCACCCACCCCACTCTGTCCCGCCAACAACTCACAACCATTTTCACACACAATCTGAGGGTTGCTACCAAAATAGCTTTCTCTGTACTGGCAGAAACATCCTGGTGGGTTGTTTTTCATAGAAATGGTAAAAAACTGACCACTACTTTTCTTTTTTCACCTAACACTTTACCTTAAAGCTTATTCCATACCCACACATAAAAAGCTGCCTTATTCCTTTTTAATGACTACATAGTATTCCATTGTATGACCCAATCATGATTTAATTTGTGCTCTATTGCTGAACATGTATGTTATTTCTAATCTTTACCTTTATAACCACAGTTCAACAAGTAATCCTCACACATGTAAAACCAGCCAATATGCCAGTAACAAGATAAACTCCTACAAGAAGATTTACATATTTAAAATTTTTTTTGATAAATATAGTCAAATAGCTCTCCACAGAGGTTGTACTAATTTCTGTGGATAGTTTCAATCACCATCTTTCCAGTGAACCTCAACAGCAGCTAAAGACAATGCTGTCTCACATTCAAGGTCCTCTCTACAGCTTGTCAATTCTTCAGTCCATCCTAGGCCACACAACCCACAACCAGGCTGACTGCTGCTTCTCGTGTTTCTTCACTAAGCAGCTCTACCCCAGTGTCCTATCCAGTCCAAGTTATAATGATAGGATCACCACAAAGCTGCCCTCAATTTAAACTGCTCACTGGGGAAGGCCCAGCTGTTGGGTAGCCAATGGACTACCAACATCTCAAGATCTAGCAGAGGGCCTACTACACGGTAGCTATTAATGAATATTTGTTGAGTGCCAAATCTATAATTCTAAGGGGTAGGCAGTATTATAAGCCCCATTTTACAGAGGAGG